GTGGACTGAACCTACAAAAATATTAGAGAACCTCGGGATGCTAACCCGGCGAGGTCGCTCCGATGCTTAAGTTAGTAGGCTAATAGCGAGCTGAAATTGCTTTGAAAATGAGAGAGCTTGAGAGTAGGAAATCACGCATACCTTGTACCCCTGGGGGGTGGAGCCTTTATATAATGGAGTCCTCGCGGATTTCGCGGAGTAGTTCCAGAATCCTCGTCACGATGAGATCCGTTTCCGCGATAATGGGAGATAGTGCTGCCAACTTATAGGGTTTATCGAGTCCGCACGAATCGATCGGGGGAGATAACGCTAGCTGTTACGCGGCGTGATCCCGTGAAATCCAAGAACCGCCGGAACACTCGTTAATTTATTTTGTATATATTATATTTTTCTATGAAGGTTAAAATGGTAATATATTAACACCTCTTAGTCTATTTAACGTCAAGTTAGTGACATTGTGAGTTTTAAACATTTTGAAAAGTTGGGTGAATTTAAGAGAAGTGCTGAAAGCTCATGGCGAGTTTTAAACAATTTCCCAAATATAAATAAATAATATCTTGCGGTCTAAAATATAATTTACCATTTTAACTTTTTTTTTGGTGGTTTTCCCAAAACAGCTCAATCAAAGTTTCACCTACTTAAGTCCTAAACGGCTATGTGTTTGGCTTTCCTACAGTCCATTCATTGGCCATTCTGATTTTTGTTCTGCAAATCCCTTGAAGCCTAATCAATGCCACATGAGCGTGGAGGTTGTTGCCTTACCAAGGGGCAAGGGAAACTCCCCACTCCTTGCAACAAGCTTTGACATTGACTTTCCATCAATAATCTCAATCACATGGTGGAATTGAATATTTGTCTACGGAACCATTCTTTGGTCAATCTATTTGCTCTAAGCCTCTTACTTTGGGAGTGAAAGGATGCCGTCAATATCCTATTTGCAATTCAGCATTGTCTTACCTCTTTGGTCTTGTTTGTTTTTTTTAAAAAAAGTCATTTACTCATATTCTTTTGATTATTAGGTAAATTATACAATAACTTTTTTTTATCTATAAAAATCAAATGTTATAATGGGTAAACTTGTTCCACTATTTTTGTAAATGTTTTTCTAAGTGGAAAAAGTATTTATCCATATGAGAGATAGACATCATTTATCCATACAAGTGATACCTAGGAAAACTAACTTTACTATGACACCAATGCTTAATAGAAAAAAAAAAACACTGTAAAATCAGTCAATGGGAACCAACAGGACCTTTTATCTTACCCTAGTTTACACAACATCATGCTCCACAAGCCATATCCTTTAGTTAGGGCTGCCAAAGTCGTCCATTTATTTTTTAACCCCATCCAATTAAGGGTGATCCGAATTCAATGAATCAATCATGGATCCATCACTATACAATCTGATATAATACGTTTTAATTTAATTTAAATATAAGGTCATTTACATAGACACCTACATCTATATCTATACTATCTATAAAAGTATGAATAGATGTGGTTGGCTTTTGGAATTTTCACTTAACTACAATACCCCATCTCTAAGGTTTGAATCAGAGAATGAGCAATGGTAAATATGTAAGTTTGTTTTCTCATTTAATGTTTATCAGGAATGACTTTTCTTTCTCGTTTAGTATTTATTACGAAAAAGACACCAAACTCCACTCTTTTTGTTCATAATTGTAAAACAAGTTAATGACAAAAATGTTATTTAATTAACATTCCTCTTTAACGCTTGTTAGGAAAAATATACAAAAATCACTCTTTTTGTTCAACAACTAAAAAACAAACCATGGTAATTGCTGAAATCTTCCTTGAAGTTTTTGACTATTGCCCAAACCACCCCTGAAGTTTGGTAATTTCAATCACCTCTCCTAAATATCTTGACACAGTTGCAAGTAGACCCCCTTTGCAAAAATCCTTTAACAAGAGGCATGAAAATGTCCAAAATGCCCATACAATTATTATTGAGGTTGTTTTATACATAAAAAACAATATAATTGTTATGAACAACAAAAAAGAGAGTTTAAAGTTGCAATTTTACCTTGAGCAATTGATATGAAGAGCAAATTTGGAAAATGCATCAATTCTGAAAAAAGAGATTAGAAGGGATTGGGATAGTTATTGATATGAAGAAAAAATTTGGAAAATAAACATTTTGGTTAAAAGTAACTACATGGATATTTTGGACATTTTTATGCTTTTTGTTAGAAGATTCTAACAAGGGGTCTCCTTGTAACGGTGTTAAAAAGTTTATGGAAGGTGATTGCATTTACCAAACTTTAGGAGGGGTTCAACAATGATAAAAAATTTTATGGGTGGTTTTAGCAATTTACCCTTTCATTTATTTAAATTAAAAAAAAATCCGGAAATACGTCTATGTCCTCAATAGCCAATGTTGGGTCATATTAACCATCATGAAGAGATTTTCAACTTGCAAATGGATGAGCAATTTATTCTTTAAGCTATTTTATTGTTTTTTTAAAGTATTTTTAACCTATTTTCATTGGTTCAGTTCTTGATTATTAAGGCAGTAAATGGTTTCTCTTCTTTATTCCCACCATATGGTGGGTTAATTTTTCATTTTTGTATGATATTTTTAGTGGTTGAAGGAGTTAATGTTGGATTTATCATATAAAAGTTAATTATTGCAAAGGTAACGAGAATGCATATAAAATTCTGATGAAGGTAACTGATAAAAATTATTAATTTTATTAATGAACCATAATAAATAAGAATAATAAGAATTTTATTAATTCTTGTTACCTTTCTAGAATTTTATTTTGACATATCTTTATATTAATGAAACATAATAAATGTGATAAATAAAAATAATTTTGTAGATGTAGAAATATAAAAAAATTACAAAAAATTTTGGAAATATATTATATACTATCATCATCACAAAATTTGTCACATGCAAAGCACATACACAAATACTAGTATACTAAAACATATCTTTTAGTTTTGGATTTACTAAGCACACCTTATAAGGTACATCATTTTTGGAAATAAGCATCCCTATAATATCACTTTTATTGCTTAATCAACCTTTTGTATTCATGAAAGGGCAAGGCTCCTATTTTTTATTTACTAAGAATTCTCATATCAACCTAAAAGGGCAGAAGGTCTGCATGTTATTATGAGAATAAGTAGTGTTTTCAACCCATTATTGATTCAACCAATTGAATTGTTCGAACCATCAATCAGCCAGGATTCCAAGTCCAGTTCAATCAAAATTTGTCAAATGGTCAAAACTATTGACTTGATCAAGAATCATCTGACCCAACTATTCAACCATTGGCCCATTTGACCCAGTCATTGGGTCATTAGTTGCACGTTCAATGCATGCAAACTTTTGGAGGCCATAACTTTGTACTCCGGTGTCTGATTGGGACGATCTTTTTTTTTTTTTTATTTTGGTACTTTTCGAGATCTATACGTCCCAAGGTGCTGCACGCGCCTTGCCCCATTATTTTTATAAAAAAAAAACTTTTTTGGCCTCAAATTATAATTTTTAATAGGGTAAATTTCTTAAACTACCCTTATCGTTTAGCTAATTGATTAAGTATAACCCTACTGTTTGACTATTGTCTAATGTTACCCCTATTGTTTCAAAAAAATACCAAATTACCATCTCTAATGTTACCCCTAAAATATTACCCCTACCCTTATTGTTGAACGAGTACCGCTGCCACTGTTTTCATCTATTCCGAGGATGCACACTATTTTCTTTTTTTTTTTTTCTCCCTTGTTCCACCCCGCTACTGCAACTTAAATCAACGGCGGTAGCAACTTCCTTTCTCCCCGTAGAGCTGCTACATTACTGAATTCGTGTTCATTTTTTCTCCCATAGTTGGCGCCGCACCGTTGAGAACTAATCACACTACCGCTTTGTCCCCAAGTAGTTCTCAACATTTAGATTTGATTTTCATTTAGTGAGGAAAGCCAGATTGACAGAGAGATTGGTTCATTGCTTCTCTCACCTTTTTGACTATGGCGAAGCATATGGGAAGAGGATACTCACTTTCCTCTCTTCTTCTTCTTCGTGTCTCGTCGTTCCATGGGTGTAACTAAAAATGAGCTAAAATCAAGATTTGTTTTGTATCTTGATCAATTTCCTTCGATACATTCTTACCCTAACCTCTAAAATCTCTAAAGGTGTGTTCCCTCTAAATTGTATTTCATCAGTTTGCGGAAAATCTAAAGGACTTTATGAGAATTGTTGTGTTGTTCGGCCACCACTGCCGCTGCAAGTTGCAGCAGTGGATTTGGTGCTTCTCTCTCCATTAACTCAAATATGAAAATACATTAGCGAAGAAGATGATAAGGGTAAAATTAGGTTTTAAAAAAATTATGTCACGTATGTATGAGTTTTGACAAAAATATTAATGATAAGGGGTAGAATTAGTCAATTGTCAAAAGAAGTAAAAGTACTGTTAGACAATATATATATGTTTAGACGGTTTGACCCATTTGATTAAATGGTTGAACCGATGACTCGTGACCCAAAGACAAAAACGGTTAAGCCTCCGGTAAATTAGGGGTATTTAACTCTTTTTGAAATAAAAAAATCCTAAAATCACGCCCTTTCACATCTTTTACTCGTTTTAAGAGACCATGTAACCATCATCAATACAAATATCAATGATGGAAAATTAATCAAGTATAAAGGATCACAAAATGTAATGGGCGTTTTAGGAAAATGCAAACTAGAGGTGGGGTTTTCGTAAATTACACAGCATGTTTGTAAATGATCCTTAATATATAATGCTATTTCATTGTTAATTCGTTTTATTAATAAAATATATTGATCCTTTTATTTATTTATTGATTATTGATGCTATTTCAACAACCACAACAACCGTTTGTAATCCGAATTAGATCCGAATGCGATATAACCCGACGGAAAAGATTTAATTCAAATAATTTTCTGGTAAATTCGATTGGAATATGAACGAATCAAATTTGGATCTACTTATGTCCGAAACGATCCGAATCGTTTGCAGCCCTATTTCCCTCCGGCCTAGTAGCATTTCTTCTTCATTTCTATTTTTTCCACTCGGGTTCGAAGTTCGCGGCACGAACAGCGACTGTCTGCGACTTCAATCTCCTTCCGTTGGACTCCTTTCGCTCTCTTTTCTACCTTCGCTTTCGATCGGTCGTTCGTTTTCCCTTCGAATCCGCTACCGATTCTTCCTCCCATGCACTGGAGTCCTGGCAGAAGTTATCAATCGAAATGGTTTCATCACTGCTTCGGCGGAAATTCTCACATGGTATTTCTTGTCATCTCTATGGTTCGTCCTTCAACCCTATTTTTTCTCTCGTTAATGTCTGTTTATATTAGTGAGATTTATGCGTTTGGATGCTCTGCTATTTGTATAATTAGACTACTAAAACTGCGAGAGATTGCTTACGTATCCCTACAGAGCATATTATTCAATTTCGAGAGTTTCCTGAAATTTTAATTTCTGTTTTGACATAATTATCAGTAAAAAAGGTGACAATATGTTAGTTTGAATAGCAGTTCTCTCTCTATCTCATACGTAAAAGAATAGTATTAATTCATCAAAATTTTACAAATTTAATAAGAATTATATGTACAGAAGTTTTTATGGTGGTTGGATATTGCCGTTTAAAACTTTCGGTTAAATGCATTGCACTGATGGTCTTTTGTATCCCCTCGTTTTGTCTTTTAGCAGATAATATGAAGCCATTCCGGATGCATTTGGAACTGCATGCTCGCTTTGTATTTGGTGATTGCTGTAGTATTTTAAGGAGATTCAGCAGCTCCTCTGGTGCACCGTTTGACTTTACAGACCTGACGTAAGAAAATAAGCTGAAATGTAATTTATGTTGTGATTACTGTACAATTTAGGACTACAGCAATATGGTTTTTTGTCACCTACTTCTTAGCGCAATGAAAGGGTACCAACCGGTTTTCATATTTTCATTCTGTGTTTGGCTTTTCGGATCTGCCACTTTTCCTGAATGCTCGACAATCTGTTTGAAAATTTACTATTGCTTTTCATAGTTAATTCTTACTTTGCTCTTGATGCATTTCCATACATTATTTGTCCAGCAAACTATGCCGTTCAATCATCTTTGTCTCAACAAAATTAATTATAAAGTGTACTGCATTATTTTGGTATTTAGCTTTGCATTGAAGAGTGTGCTTCATTACAGTCGCCCTCATACATGGTACCCAAATGCGCGGAGAAAGAAGAGGAACATTATTCTGCATGTGGGTCCCACAAATAGTGGTAAAACTCACCATGCCCTGAAGCAATTAGAAAGAAGTTCTTCAGGTATTCTTCCTTTTTTAATTCTGTAACTGCATTTTTTTGTGATATGCAACTATTGTTGTATTATTGAGTTTTTTCTTCTTTCTTTCCTTTTTTTCCAATATTTTCATGGAGAAAAAAGGTTGAGAGGAATTATTTTGAACCTCTTTCTTTGGGATCAAGAGTGAATTATTAACCTTTTACTTAGTCTGGTTGGTCTGGTGCCTTTAAACCATTCTGTTTTAGCTGAAGTTTTAGTGGAAAAGGATATGCCACACAAACTTTGGGATTTCCTAGTTGAATGGGAATCTACAACACTCTTAGTTTGGTTACTAGTCTTAGTAGATGGTTATGGAGATGCATTATGAAGGTGCTGAGATCAACTGAAATTTTGGTAGACAATCTAGCAGAAGATAATGCTGCTAGAACTAAATGTAATGTACGACTCCTATGCCTTTCTAGCCTCGATATGTTGTTAGCACTTGGTATTGTTCTTATTATTCTGAACTTCTGGGGCTTCTCTCTCTCTCTCACCCTTTGCTCCTTTGTTTTCATTAAAGTTCATATGGAATTTTATTAACTTTCATTGTAGTTCTTTCTCACCAATAAGTGATAATATTATTTCTTTTTCCTTAAGGAATTTATTGTGGGCCCTTAAGACTGTTAGCATGGGAGGTTGCAAAAAGGTTGAATAAGGCACATGTTCCTTGTGACCTGATTACAGGACAAGAAAAAGAAGAAATTGATGGTGCAAAGCACAAGTCAGTGACTGTTGAAATGGCTGATGTGACTAGTGACTACCATTGTGCTGTTATTGATGAAATTCAGGTATGCAAATACTAATCTTTAGCATTAATCCATACTTCATTTTTGTTGAGCTTCGTTGCAGTATTTAGAAGATAGTTAGGATGTCTTGAGATTTTCTCTGAATTATATGCATGTCTAGTCTTCTGTTTAAGTTCCTTATGTGTCCACCTAGAACATGTTTCCTCCTTTGGCCTAGTTCATCAAACTCAATTTTAAGCTCCTGACATACGTTTGATAAAACTTTGTGTATGAATAGTTAGTACAATTTGAGTCTCACTTCTCTGCCTTTATTTTTAAACATCACATTATCAAGATTTATTATTGCTTATTTTCTTATTATTTTGCAGATGGTTGGCTGTAAGACAAGGGGTTTTTCATTCACACGTGCATTATTAGGGCTTGCTGCGGATGAGCTTCACTTGTGTGGAGATGCGGCTGTTGTTCCTCTTATACAAGAAATACTTGAAGTAACAGGTGATGTCATCAAGGTATTAAAATTGTGAAATGTTGATTTAAGTCACGTTTTTCAGTCTCTGCAAAAGATCATTTGCATTACTTGATTTTACCCATCAGATGAGGTTGTCGTTGGACAATGTCTAATTATTTAAAAGGACTAGTCTTCAGTCTTATTTCCTGTAGTTTCATGTGTAGATATATTTGTCCTGTTGTACATGGATCTGGTCAAGATTCCCATGCATTATTATCTAGCTTTTCCTTTTAATTGAAATACCTTATTAAAAAATTGCTATTGGGGGGGGGGCGGCCACAAATGTAAAGTCTTTGTAAGAGGGGTTCCTCAAAATAGAGGGAGGGCAGGTGAAAGCCAGCCCTAATAAGGAGAAACACTTTGTACAAAATGTTATAAATACCACTTTTTTATCATTAATAAAGAGAAGTGACCAATAAAATAAATACTATACCTGTTAATAATTAATTGGCATTTTAATATGAGAGGGATTGTGGTGAGAGATCTATCCATGCCAGGTGATAACGACTTAGTAGTCTAGGTGTTTTGGCCTGTTAAGCTGAGTTGTTGCTAAACATTTACTATGGACTACCTAGTTGTCAAACTGAGATACTATTTTAGTGCATATATAAATATAGAAAAAGTATTTTCACTTTAGAAAGAAAAGATAAAGATCATTCTAAATACCCCAAAAAATCTTATAAGGATGAAACTGTAGAATATTTTGGCCTTTTTCAATCCTTTAATATGTTGCCAGATACAAAAAATGTCATCTGAGTTACATGGCCTGATTGCCTGAATACTTGAATTCTTAACTGTGAAAAGAAAAATTCAAAAATCTCCAATGGAAATCAACCACCTTAGAAGTTTTGAACAACTGTATCACATTTTCTTTATTGTTGTTGCACGTATAATATAAGTTTATTTTCTTGAAGCCTTTCCTCTTGAACTGATCAATTCTGAGAATATATTCAAGGCCACTGGCCAAGCAAATGATTCCACTCTAGGAGGAATGCAATTGCCCCTCATCCCTTTAATGCCAGTGGTCTCCACCTGATTCCTAATAATAGTATTATAATACAATTTAACTGTAATCTGACTATTGCAACATTCTTTCTACCATTTTACATTACTCTTTTATGGAAAAATCCATTTAGCCTCAAAGAATGCATCATTCCTCAAGCTCCCAGTCTAGCAAAAGTCTTCTAAAACTAGGAAACCATACCACTTGATTAACTCTCAATTCAAAACACTGATTAATAGTGGTTTATCAAAAAAAAAACACTGATTAATAGTGTTGTCTTTAGAACTCCACCTGTATAATTTCAGGCAAAGCTCAGATAGTTTTCCAACCCAACCCTGCTCCAATCGTCTTTCCAAAACCAAAATCTCACTTTTGTAAGCGACAACTGGACTGTTGGAACCTCATGATCCTTCCACACACTCTCCCCATAAGATGTTGATACCTCCATTGAATCCCTGCCCAAATATTGCCCCCCAAATTTGCATGTCACCTCATTAACAAAGGTAAGGTGATTGAGAATGTATGCAGCCCCTGTGAACAGAATTGAGCTTCAAATTGCATATTTACTGTCAAGATTTGGGAACATGTTGGTCATTTCGGGATGCCCCAAATTGCAGATTTTCTGTCCAGATTGCTAAACCTGAGCTTCAACCCAAGTATGCACCAAGGAGGTAGAGACTTTCAATCATTTGTTTCTGACTTTCTGCATTGTGAGTTTTCTTTCAGAATTTGGTCTCAGTTTTACAAGGCAATAATATCCTACCAGAGCTGTATGTCTAGATCACTCAAATCTCTATTAGAAAGCTGGAAAGTTGGGAAAATATGCTAGAAGGGGAAGATCTATTGTTGGCAGTACCACTGGCTTTTTTGTGAGCCATTTGGAGTGAAAGGAATAGAAGGTTTTTTTGAACAGAAACACTTTCAAGAAGGGAATCTGTTAAACCTAATAGTGGAGGATCTTTGAGGCTGGGTTGAGTGTATTCACTCTTCGGACAGAACGTTTTATCTTCTGCTTTTGCTGCAGTTGATTTTTTTTGGGGTGCTTAAGCACTGTTCATATGTACAGAAACTTGTTATACAGTGAACAGCCATATCCATTTTGATTAATACTATCTTTACCTCTTCAAAAAAAAAAAGGTAACTCCATACTAGCAAAGATCACAGCAGCAGTACAAGGGCTTAGGGTGGTCAGATTTTGCAATCTAAGAAGTCTGATATTAGAAGGGGATTCAGAGGTGGTGATTTGATGGTTCAACAACCAAGTTTCAGCCCTGTGGATAACTGGATATACAGGAACATAATGAGGGAAATTAAAGGGCTAATGAGGAACTGGTTGTAGAGGTAAAATGTGTCCTATATTCGCCAATTACTTGGCTGATGCACTTGCCAAACAAGGGATTGGCAGAAGAGAGATGTATTGGGGTTTTATAGGGAATTTGTGATGTAAAAGTTAATGGAATCATGGTTGGGAGAGAGCTGTGCTGGATCATTTTCTTGGGGATGTCTAATTTTCTTTGTATATAGTGATTTTTTAAACAATCTTATGAAAGTGGGCAAAGTCTATGGTGCATCCACTGCACCATGTAGTGAAAGACGTAATTGGTTGAACTTGATGGTAAATAGACCTTGTTAAACGTGAAAATACACTTTGTGAAACATGAACTAATGAAAAGTAAGCAGACTTTAATACGATTGGTTGAGATATGGGTTTAATGTATTACCATTATTAGTGAATGCACTGTAGTTGAACTCATAAAGTGTTATTATACATTAAAAAAAGTAAAACCATTGATGAATAGAAAGAAAAAAATAACTTTTAAAAATATTAAATTGAAGCACTACTACTACTAAACTGGGTTCTTTCAGCTTATGTTTTAAGCTCCCTATTTCTATAAAATGTCAATTCATTTTAGTCCTGAAAGACTTGATTCATACTTTTCATCCGAAGCTCTTACTTGCTCCCGCTGTCTTGCTGCTAGTGTTGTTTGTTGGTCTTGTTATGACAATTATTTTTTACTTTTGCAACAGTTTAACCTCCATTGTTATTACTAACATAGGCCATGTACCCTTTCTTATGGTATGCTTTTATGTAGGTTCAATATTATGAAAGACTCTCCCCTCTCATTCCATCAAAGGTTCCTCTTGGATCTTTCTCTAAAATACAAACAGGCGATTGTATTGTTACATTTTCACGGCGTGAAATATACAGATTAAAGGTCTAAGGTTACTTATATTTTCTGTTGGCCATGCTTTAATTCCAATCATCTGCTTCCTATTTACTGCCTGAATTTCGATTCTTGGGTATGCTAGCATGCTCTTGTACTTTTATATGCATGATGTTTTTCCAAGAGGCTACCTGACACGAGTCTAAAAGTAGTATACAAACTTGTCCTTGCTATTTTGATTGGTCTTAACATTGTGAGGTAAGAAAGTGAAGATAAATATGTTGAAAACGAGCAAACTTTATTTTAGTGTTACGAAAGTGCTTTACTGATGTTTATCATTCCAGGGAAGTATCATCATCACCCAACCCTTATCCTAACCATATGGGGTCGGCTATTCCAGGGAGATATGATGAACTAAATTACCAAAAAGAGGTAGAAATGAGGGCACACCCCTTTATGCGATAGATTTCATCAAATGCAGTGATCACACATGCCAGCCTTCATGTAAGAGGGCACATCTGGATTCTGCAGTTTCCATCTATCAAGCTGATAAATGATGGAGCTTTTTCTGCTCTTTTTTATTGATAACGAGAACAAGCATTAAAAAATTTCAAGAAAAAGATATAAATAAAGTTCCTCGTAATAAAAACTAGGAAGAGTTGAAAGATGATACACCAGCACTATCTAGCCCAAAAAGGTTGGTCTTAATACATCTCCAACTCATCCCCATCTCTAACTAAACATGCCGTTTTTTGGATCAGTCTCTAACTTAAGTAGCATGCTAGGTGATTAGTTGATCATAGGACCCATTTGAACCAGGGTTTTGAAGGCTAAAGGCGGAGGTGAGGCAGTTGGGTGTCATGGGGTGAGGCATAAGCCTCAAGGTGTTTTGAGGCCTAAGCCTTGAGCAAGAAAAAAAAGATGTAATCCATAAATAATAAAGACATGAAAAACATAAAAAGATTTTATATGGCTTGTTTAATATATTAGTCATGGATTTGAATCTTATCAGTATAGGGTTTTTCCCTTAAAATCTAAATGCCATATAAATCTAACCGTTCAGTTCAAGGATATGAACCAACAGTATTTTAAGAGCAAGGATTCTTGTTTCATTTCTTGCACCTGTACATCAATGGAGTGACCACCTATGTGATGCATGCACTTTAGAAAAAATAGATTATCAACTATGTTGTAGATGAGCAAGCGAGTAAGAAACAAAGCATGAAAAATAAAGAACATGAACAACAGAACCAGCTATTTTCATACACATTTGTATGTATTTATTTGTTTTTTGATGGGAAAAAACAGCGAGGAAGACTTTACTCTCATTTGTATGTATTCATTTGTTATTTTTATATTTATTCGTTTATACAATATGCCAATACAAAACAAAGCATTCTCTTTTCGTCTTAACTTTCTGTTTTACCCCTATATAAACCTTCATATTAAACGCTAGTGTGCCAAATTCATGAGGCTCAAGCAAGTTCAAAGGCCCAAAGGCATAAGCCTCAAACAACTCAAGGCTTAAGCCTTGATGGTGGGGTCTGAGGCTACTGAGGCTGGCTGTTTTTATTTTTTATTTCCTAGCCTTGCCTCAACAGCCTTTTGAAACAATGGTTTGAACAAGATGTTCACACTTGAAAGACATGCTTCTCTAAAGGCTTCCTTTTTTTTCCTAGCTTCTCTAAAGACATGCTTTAGAATCCAAGCACCTTTACTTTCATCCTTATTGTATCACCACTTGGAAGTCTCCATTCATTTCTAGACTGATGCTGGCTACACAAAGCAACTGTCAACTCAAAAGGAGTGCTCTGCTCTATTGAAGTTCCGTATGTATCTTCAATTTGCAGATAGCCCCAAGTTCCCCATGAAGCATCCATCAATGCTAAGTTTAATAGTACCTTTGGGGGAGACTATATTCTCCTAGTTGATTAAGTGGCTATATGATTCAAGATCTCAAAAATATCACCCATACTGAAGTCTCCAAATTCCTTTATTGTGCAGAGGCAATGTGCTACTTCTTTTAGTTATTAAACAGGAAGCAGACTGCTTAAACACTGAATATATGGTGTAATTTAGGAGTTACATAACATAGTGTTTATTTTTCATAGAAAGAGGTAGATTTAGTGACTAATTTTTATGCTTTTAGGTGCCAACAGGACTCTTTTTGTATTAACTGCTTATATCCTCCTCTTCAAATAAAAAGAGGAAAAGAAAAAGAGAATGCTTTTGTTGAGCAACCCATTTAGAAGTGAGAACCCTACCATTATTATCAGTTTGCTCGAAAATTGAAACTCTTGTAAAATGAAGAGAATAGAAGAAAATTGGAGCCAGAATGGAGGAAGACATGGTTAGGGCTTTAATATATTGGCTCTCATTCTCTCTCAAATGAGAGAAATGCTTTATACAGAATGTCTAAATTACAAAACAGACTCAAATAGTTCTGACATAACAATTAAGTCCTTAAATTCACTGTAATTCCTGAAGTTCCCCCTCATTCATCATACGAAATACATATTGTATATTCCAACTAATGTTTACAGTTTGTCCTTCAATTGTTTGTCTCTGAGACTAGATCAGGGTAAGTTCTCACAGGTTACCAAGTGAGAGCATTCTTAGCAAATCATCCTTCCCTGTGAAATGGATGCTTATGACATCATCCAAATAATAAGAAAAAAATTAATTTTTATCTTGGAAATGTCCCTATAATTTTCAGACTATCAATTTGCATCCCATTTTGGGGGTCGGGGATTGATGATGATACTGGAACAGGATTCATGTAGCTAACCCCATATGGTTAGGATAAAGCTTAGATTATGATGAAATCCCTGTACAACAGGATATGGGTATGTAGCAGTCCCCTTCTCTATTTCCATGGTTCCAAAGAAGAATCATATTTCATGACATTGAATGTATATGTTGCAAAATTCATGTTTGTTGATGAATTTTAATGTAATTACTTAAATTCTTTATCCATTTATTCTGCAAAAACAACAAGAAGAAAATGACTGAACAATCAAAAAGCTTTCCTGCTTATCCTTTGGCACAATATCTTCTTTCAATTCCTCAGAATCAGCTTTTTGCTTCTGTTTCGACTGGTGCTACAGTAGTCCGAACCAGGAAGAGAAGAAGAAGAAGAAGAAGAAGAGAAGAAGAAGAAGGGTCTTTCGAAATCTGATGGATTACTCATACAGTCGACCCCCTTAATCTATACTAGATTCTAATAATCTTTACAAAGACAAAAATGCCCTTACTTAAGTGTGGGGCAGAGTGACTCTAATAACACTGCCACATAAGCAAGCTACTTAACAARCATAAGAAGACTAAACTACCCCTATTCGGCACACTTTAACACTCTCCCTCAAGCTGGAGAATATATGTCATATAATCCCAACTTATTACATAGATAGTTCACTTTCCTT